GTATATGTTTTATACTTTATATGTACAACCATGTAGTTGTGTGTTTTATACTTTTTTTGTACAAGCTTGTAGTTGCGTGTTTTATATTTTATATGTACAACCATGTAGTTGTGTGTTTTATACTTTATGTGTACAACCTTGTAGTTGTGTGTTTTATACTTTATATGTACAACATTGTAGTTGTGTGTTTTATACTTTATATCTACAATCTTGTAGTTGTGTGTTTTATACTTTATATGTACAACCATGTAGTTGTGTGTTTTATACGTTTTTTGTACAACCTTATAGTTGTGTGTTTTATACTCTATATGTATAACCTTGTAGTTATGTGTTTTATACTTTATTTGTACAACCTTGTATTTGTGTGTTTTATACTTTATATGTACAACCTTGTAGTTGTGTGTTTTATACTTTATATCTACAACCATGTTGTTGTGTGTTTTATACTTTATATGTACAACCATGTAGTTGTGTGTTTTATACGTTTTTTGTACAACCTTGTAGTTGTGTTTTATACTTTATATGTACAACCTTGTAGTTGTGTGTTTTATACTTTATATCTACAACCATGTGGTTGTGTGTTTTATACTTTATATGTACAACCATGTAGTTGTGTGTTTTATACGTTTTTTGTACAACCTTGTAGTAGTGTGTTTTATACTTTATATGTACAACCATGTAGTTGTGTGTTTTATACGTTTTTTGTACAACCTTATAGTTGTGTGTTTTATACTCTATATGTAAAACCTTGTAGTTATGTGTTTTATACTTTATTTGTACAACCTTGTATTTGTGTGTTTTATACTTTATATGTACAACCTTGTAGTTGTGTGTTTTATACTTTATATCTACAACCATGTTGTTGTGTGTTTTATACTTTATATGTACAACCATGTAGTTGTGTGTTTTATACGTTTTTTGTACAACCTTGTAGTTGTGTTTTATACTTTATATGTACAACCTTGTAGTTGTGTGTTTTATACTTTATATCTACAACCATGTAGTTGTGTGTTTTATACTTTATATGTACAACCATGTAGTTGTGTGTTTTATACGTTTTTTGTACAACCTTGTAGTAGTGTGTTTTATACTTTATATGTACAACCATGTAGTTATGTGTTTTATACTTTATATGTACAACCTTGTAGTTGTGTGTTTTATACTTTATATGTACAACCTTGTAGTTGTGTGTTTTATACTTTATTTGTATAACCCTGTAGTTGTGTGTTTTACACTTTATATGTACAACCATGTAGTTGTGTGTTTTATACTTTATATGTACAACCATGTAGTTGTGTGTTTTATACTTTAATATCAGTGTTTCCCATTCAGTGATGTGCTTTGATTACAGGTATGTTTCACATTCAGTGATGTTTTTAATAACATGTATGTTTCACATTCAGTGTTGTACTTTGATAACAGTGTTTCACATTCAGTGTTGTGCTTTGATAACATGTATGTTTCACACTCAGTGATGTGCTTAGATTACAGGTACGTTTCAGATCCAGTGTTGTACTTTGATATCAGTGTTTCACATTTAGTGATGTGCTTTGATAACAGGTATGTTTCACATTCAGTGATGTGCTTTGATTACAGGTATGTTTCACATTCAGTGTTGTACTTTGATTACAGTGTTTCACATTTAGTGATGTGCTTTTAAAATATGTATGTTTCACATTCAGTGATGTGCTTTGATAACAGGTATGTTTCACATTCAGTGTTTTACTTTGATTACAATGTTTCCCATTCAGATGTGCTTTGATAACATGTATGTTTCACATTCAGTGATGTGATTTGATTACGGGTATGTTTCACATTCAGTGATGTTTTTTAATAACATGCATGTTTCACATTCAGTGTTGTACTTTGATAACAGTGTTTCACATTCAGTGTTGTGCTTTGATAACATGTATGTTTCACACTCAGTGATGTGCTTAGATTACAGGTACGTTTCAGATCCAGTGTTGTACTTTGATTACAGTGTTTAACATTTAGTGATGTGCTTTGATTACAGTGTTTAACATTTAGTGATGTGCTTTGATAACAGGTATGTTTCACATTCAGTGATGTGCTTTGATTACAGGTATATTTCACATTCAGTGTTGTACTTTGATTACAGGTATGTTTCACATTTAGTGATGTGCTTTTATAACATGTATGTTTCACATTCAGTGATGTGCTTTGATAACAGGTATGTTTCACATTCAGTGTTTTACTTTGATTACAATGTTTCCCATTCAGAGATGTGCTTTGATAACATGTATGTTTCACATTCAGTGATGTGCTTTGATAACATGTATGTTTCACATTCAGTGATGTTTTTTATAACATGTATGTTTCACATTCAGTGTTGTACTTTGATTACAGTGTTTCACATTTAATGATGTGCTTTGAAAACAGGTATGTTGCACATTCAGTGATGTGCTTTGAAAACAGGTATGTTTCACATTCAGTGTTGTACTTTGATTACAGTGTTTCACATTCAGTGATGTGCTTTGATATCAGATATGTTTCACATTCAGTGTTTTACTTTGATATAAGTGTTTCACATTCAGTGTTTAACTTTAATATCAGTGTTTCCCATTCAGTGATGTGCTTTGATTACAGTGTTTCATATTCAGTGTTGTACTTCGATTACAGTGTTTCACATTTAGTGATGTGCTTTGATTACAGGTTTTATACTTTATATGTACAACCATGTAGTTGTGTGTTTTATACTTATATGTACAACCTTGTAGTTGTGTGTTTTATACTTTATATGTACAACCTTGTAGTTGTGTGTTTTATACTTTATATGTACAAACTTGTAGTTTTGTGTTTTATACTTTATATGTACAAACTTGTAGTTGTGTGTTTTATACTTTATATGTACAACCTTGTAGTTGTGTGTTTTATACTTTATATGTACAACCATGTAGTTGTGTGTTTTATACTTTATATGTACAACCATGTAGTTGTGTGTTTTATACTTTATATGTACAACCTTGTAGTTGTGTGTTTTACACTTTATTTTTACAACCTTGTAGTTGTGTGTTTTATACTTTATATGTACAAACTTAGTTGTGTGTTTTTTACTTTATATGTACAAACTTGTAGTTGTGTGTTTTATACTTTATATGTACAACCTTGTAGTTGTGTGTTTTATACTTTATATGTACAACCATGTAGTTGTGTGTTTTATACTTTATATGTACAACCATGTAGTTGTGTGTTTTATACTTTATATGTACAACCATGTAGTTGTGTGTTTTATACATTTTTTGTACAACCTTGTAGTTGTGTGTTTTATACTTTATATGTACAACCTTGTAGTTGTGTGTTTTATACTTTATTTGTACAACCCTGTAGTTGTGTGTTTTACACTTTATATGTACAACCATGTAGTTGTGTGTTTTATACTTTATATGTACAACCATGTAGTTGTGTGTTTTATACTTTATATGTACAACCATGTAGTTGTGTGTTTTATACTTTATATGTACAACCTTGTAGTTGTGTGTTTTATACTTTATATGTACAACCTTGTAGTTGTGTTTTATTCTTTATATGTACAACCTTGTAGTTGTGTGTTTTATACTTTATTTGTACAACCTTGTAGTTGTGTGTTTTATACTTTATATGTACAAACTTGTAGTTGTGTGTTTTATACTTTATATGTACAACCTTGTAGTTGTGTGTTTTATACTTTATATCTACAACCATGTAGTTGTGTGTTTTATACATTATATGTACAATCTTGTAGTTGTGTGTTTTATTCTTTATATGTACAACCTTGTAGTTGTGTGTTTTATACTTTATATGTACAACCATGTAGTTGTGTGTTTTATACTTTATTTGTACAACCTTGTAGTTGTGTGTTTTATACTTTATATGTACAACCTTGTAGTTGTGTGTTTTATACTTTATTTGTACAACCTTGTAGTTGTGTGTTTTATACTTTATATTTACAACCTTGTAGTTATGTGTTTTATATGTACAACCTTGTAGTTGTGTGTTTTATACTTTATATGTACAACCATGTAGTTGTGTGTTTTATACTTTATATGTACAACCTTGTAGTTGTGTGTTTTATTCTTTATATGTACAACCTTGTAGTTGTGTGTTTTATACTTTATATGTACAACCATGTAGTTGTGTGTTTTATACTTTATTTGTACAACCTTGTAGTTGTGTGTTTTATACTTTATATGTACAACCTTGTAGTTGTGTGTTTTATACTTTATATGTACAACCTTGTAGTTGTGTGTTTTATACTTTATTTGTACAACCTTGTAGTTGTGTGTTTTATACTTTATATGTACAACCTTGTAGTTGTGTGTTTTATACTTTATATGTACAACCTTGTAGTTGTGTGTTTTATACTTTATATGTACAACCATGTAGTTGTGTGTTTTATACTTTATATGTACAACCTTGTAGTTGTGTGTTTTATACTTTATATGTACAACCTTGTAGTTGTGTGTTTTATACTTTATATGTACAACCTTGTAGTTGTGTGTTTTATACTTTATATGTACAACCTTGTAGTTGTGTGTTTTATACTTTATATGTACAACCATGTAGTTGTGTGTTTTATACTTTATATGTACAACCTTGTAGTTGTGTGTTTTATACTTTATATGTACAACCTTGTAGTTGTGTGTTTTATACTTTATATGTACAACCTTGTAGTTGTGTGTTTTATACTTTATATGTACAACTGCAACTTGAAGTAACTTGTAGTTATGATTTTATACTGTAACAATCTACTTTGATGTTATTTAAAGTGTGTGTTTTATATTGTTTATGTTCAACGGTCAGTTACATGTAGTTGTGTTTTATTCTGTTACAATTAGCAGTACTTTGAAGTAACTTGTAGTTATTTTATTTATATTCCTTAAGTAAGATCTACTATGTTCTGAAGTTATCTATAGTATGTTTTTTTTCTGTACATAAGTATTTTGCTCTAGAACTAATGGTTTGGATGTTACTACTGTTTCGAATGAGACTATTTTACTTACATCTTGATAATCAATTTCTGCTTTATTCTCTAGGCATATTTTCAGATCTTTTACATTTCCATACCGAGCAGCTGTAATAAGTTTCTGTAAGTAAAAAATTTTTTTTTACATTTAATAGATTGTAATGAAAAATAAATGAAATAACTATTAAGTCTGGCAATAAGTATATATATTCTCTTGTATTGGAAATGACTATATAAATAAGTAGTATCCACCCCTCAAATATCATTCATGAAGAGAGGATATGTACCGGTACCAATTAAACACTTATATTTGAAAAGCATTTGATAAATTTCTGAAACTGAAAAAACCTAAATTGCATTTTTGCTTGTCATTAGTTACTAAATACTGATTCAATTGCTTTTTGGGTAACTAAACTGCCGCTAAATTATGTATGAAAATCAGCTCCAAGTTCACTGACACCATGAACTCAAGAGGATTTCTGGCAAGTTGCTAATGATTTATAAACAACAAAACATAAACAGGTAATAAATTTCATGTAGTTCATGCCTATCTTCGCTATGATTTGTTATTAGCAACATCTTAGTTTGACAAATGTTTGTAGTAGAAAGTAAAACAACAAAAATACTGAACTCCAAGGAAAATTCAAAATGGAAAGTCCCTTAACACGTAAGACTTTGTAGCAGACCTTTCTTTGTCCAAGTCTTGTATAATATTTGTTTGATGTGTGTTCTTGGAATATCTATTTTTGGAGTTCACGTAGAATTCTACGAGTTTTTATCACTTACTTGTATTTTCTGTAAGACAAGAGTGAACACGCTGAAATGTCTCGCCTTCTTTACTAACCAATGATATTATGTTGATAGTTCTAAATATAAAGCTTTACAACAACTATCACATAAACTTAACATGATCCAAGAAAAATGAGGTCAAAGGTCTGATAACCAAACTGAAAGTACATGTGCACCTTACAATCATTCCATACACTAAATATGCTTTAAATATAGTTGAACTATTGCACATCTAAGAAACAAACTTAATTAGGAAAACTTAACAATGATCAAAGAACCATGAAAATGAGGTCAAGGTCAGATGAACCCTGCCAGACAGACATGTACACCGTACAATCATTACATGCTTTAAATATAGTTGACCTTTTGCATATAGTATCTATTAAAGAAACAAACTTAACCAGGAAAACTTAAGATTGACCAATGAACCATGAAAATGTGGTCATGGTCAATTGATAATTGCCAGACAGACAGACCAAAAAACAAAAACTTAACATTGAGCAATGAACGGTAAAAATGAGGTCAAGGTCAAATAAAACATACCAGACTTAAATATACATGATAAAATATTTACATACACCAAATATAGTTGACCTATTGCATACAGTATAAGAAAAACAGACCAAAACACAAAAACTTAACTTTAACCACTGAACCATGAAAATGAGGTCAAGGTCAGATGACACCTGTAGGTTGGACATGTACACCTTACAATCATTACATACACCAAATATACTAGACCTATTGCTTATAGTATCTGAGATATGGACTTGACCACGAAAACTTAACCTTGTTCACTGATCCATGAAATGAGATTGAAGTCAATTGAAAACTGTCTGATGGGCATGAGGACATTGCAAGGTACGCACATACCAAATTTAGTTATCCTATTACTCATAATAAGAGAGAAATTAAGAATACTAAAAATCTGAACTTTTTTTTTCAAGTAGTCAATGAACAATGAAAATGAGGTCAAGGACAATGGACATATGACAGATAGAAACTTCATAACATAAGGCATCTATATACAAAGTATGAAGGATCCAGGTCTTCTATCTTCTAAAATATTTAGCTTTTAAGAAGTTAGTTAACGCCACGGCCGCCAGGTCACTATCCCTATGTCAAGCTTTCTGCGACAGAAGTGGCAGGCTCGACAAAAATGGAAAACAAAAGGTCACATGACAACTGGACTTAAAAGTTAATCTTACCTTATTCCAATTTTCCATTACTAATATATCCTATAAATAGAAAAAAAAAGCTTTTTCAAATATATACGGTTGAGTTATCATTAAGTTATTTTTGTTACTGCCAATTTAAATTACATGATTCTTATGGACTTGTAAATTACTGACCTAAAATTTTCAGATATTAATCTAATTCAAATACATGTACCGGTAGTACTAGCATTTAAAAAGACTTAAATCTTAACTTTTCTGCACTATTGTGCTGTTTGAAATTATACGAGAGGCACATCTATGCCTGTATCGCTCACCTGGTAAAAATATCACCAGTTTGCTATTTATGGTTTATATATAAATATATATGCACATACTACAGTAAGTCTTTGTGTTGCTGAAAATTTTTGCAATTTACACGATTAACCTAGCTCCTACAAAAACTACCTCGACCAAAAACTTTAACCTAAAGCGGACAGATGGACGAACGGACAGACAAACATACGAACGGACGCACAGACCGAAAAACATAATGCCCCTAGGTGGGGCATCAAATACAGACAAAACACAAAAACTTATCATTGACCAATGAACCATGTAAATGAGGTCAAGGTCAGATACCCGCAAGACAGACAACACCGTTTGATTTCTTACTTCCAAATGTCACTGAATTACAATAACTAGAGGCTAGAGCCTGTGTCGCTCACCTTGGTCTATGTTCATATTAAGCAAAGGACACAGATGGATTCATGACAAAATTGTGTTTTGGTGATGGTGATGTGTTTGTCGATCTTACTTTACTGAACATTCTTGCTGCTTACAATTATCTCTATCTATAATGAACGAGGCCCAGTAGTTACAGTGGAAAATATTTTGTAAAAATTTACAAAAATTTACAAAATTTATGAAAATTGTAAAAAATTGACTATAAAGGGCAATAACTCCTTAAGGGGTCAATTGACAATTTTGGTCATGTTGACTTATTTGTAGATCTTACTTTGCTGTACAAAATTTTCTTAAAATTACCAATTCAGGGGCAGCAACCCAACTACGTGTTGCCTGATTGGTCTGAAATTTTCAGGGCAGATAGATCTTGACCTAATGAACAATTTTATCCCCCATGTCAGATTTGCTCTAAACACTTTGGTTTCAGAGATATGAGCCAAAAACTGCATTTTACCCTATGTACTATTTTTTAGCCAGGTCGGCCATCTTGGTTTGCGGGCGGGGTCATCGGACACATTTTTTAAACTAGATACCCTAATGATGATTGTGGACAAGTTTGGTTAAATTTGTCTTATTAGTTTCAGAGGAGAAGATTTTTGTAAAAGATTACAAAAATTTACGAAAAATGGTTAAAAATTGACTATAAAGGGCAATATCTCCTTAAGGGGTCAACTGACCATTTTGGTCATGTTGACTTATTTGTAGATCTTACTTTGCTGAACATTATTGCTGTTTACAGTTTATCTCTATCTATAATAATATTCAAGATAATAACCAAAAATGGCAAAATTTCCTTAAAATAACCAATTCAGGGGCAGCAACCCAACAACAGGTTGTCCAATTCATCTGAAAATTTCAGGGCAGATAGATCTTGACCTGATTAACAGTTTTACCCCCATGTCAGATTTGCTCTAAATGCTTTGGTTTCAGAGATATAAGCCAAAATCTACATTTTACCCCTATGTTCTATTTTTAGCCATGGCGGCCATCTTGGTTGGTTGGCCGGGTCACCGGACACATTATTTAAACTAGATACCCTAATGATGATTGTGGACAAGTTTGGTTAAACTTGTCTAAGTAGTTTCAGAGGAGAAGATTTTTGTAAAAGATTACAAAAATTTACAAAAAATGGTTAAAAATTGACTATAAAGGGCAATAACTCCTTAAGGGGTCAACTGACCATTTTGGTCATGTTGACCTATTTGTTGATCTTACTTTGCTGAACATTATTGCTGTTTACAGTTTATCTCTATCTATAATAATATTCAAGATAATAACCAACTAGAGGCTCTAAAGAGCCTGTGTCGCTCACCTTGGTCTATGTGCATATTAAACAAAGGACACAGATGGATTCATGACAAAATTGTGTTTTGGTGATGTGTTTGTAGATCTTACTTTACTGAACATTCTTGCTCCTTACTATTATCTCTATCTATAATGAACTTGGCCCAGTAGTTACAGTGGAAAATATTTTGCAAAAATTTACAAAAATTTACAAAATTTATGAAAATTGTAAAAAATTGACTATAAAGGGCAATAACTCCTTAAGGGGTCAATTGACAATTTTGGTCATGTCGACTTATTTGTAGATCTTACTTTGCTGTACATTATTGTTGTTCACAGTTTATCTCTATCTATAATAATATTCAAGATAATAACCAAAAGCTGCAAAATTTTCTTAAAATTACCAATTCAAGGGCAGCAACCCAACAACGTGTTGCCTGATTGGTCTGAAAATTTCAGGGCAGATAGATCTTGACCTAATGAACAATTTTATCCTTGTCAGATTTGCTCTCAATGCTTTGGTTTCAGAGATATTAGCCAAAAACTGCTTTTTACCCTATGTACTATTTTTTAGCCATGTCGGCCATCTTGGTTTGCGGGCGGGGTCATCGGACACATTTTTTAAACTAGATACCCTAATGATGATTGTGGACAAGTTTGGTTAAATTTGTCTTAGTAGTTTCAGAGGAGAAGATTTTTGTAAAAGATTACAAAAATTTACGAAAAATGGTTAAAAATTGACTATAAAGGGCAATAACTCCTTAAGGGGTCAACTGACCTTTTTGGTCAAGTTGACTTATTTGTAGATCTTACTTTGCTGAACATTATTGCTGTTTACAGTTTATCTCTATCTATAATAATATTCAAGATAATAACCAAAAACGGCAAAATTTCCTTAAAATTACCAATTCAGGGGCAGCAACCCAACAACGGGTTGTCCGATTCATCTGAAAATTGCAGGGCAGATAGATCTTGACCTGATAAACAATTTTACCCCCATGTCAGATTTGCTCTAAATGCTTTGGTTTCAGAGATATAAGCCAAAATCTACATTTTACCCCTATGTTCTATTTTTAGCCATGGCGGCCATCTTGGTTGGTTGGCCGGGTCACCGGACACTTTTTTTAAACTAGATACTTGAATGATGATTGTGTTTAAGTTTGGGTGCATTTGGCCCAGTAGTTTCAGAGGAGAAGATTTTTGTAAAAGTTTACGGATGACGGACGCAAAGTGATGAGAAAAGCTCACTTGACCTTTCAGGTCAGGTGAGCTAAAAACGGCAAAATTTCCTTAAAATAACCAATTCAGGGGCAGCAACCCAACAACGGGTTGTCAGTTTCATCTGAAAATTTCAGGGCAGATAGATCTTGACCTGATTAACAATTTTACCCCAAGTCAGATTTGCTCTAAATGCTTTGGTTTCAGAGATATAAGCCAAAATCTACATTTTACCCCTATGTTCTATTTTTAGCCATGGCGGCCATCTTGGTTGGTTGGCTGGTTCACCGGACACATTTTTTAAACTAGATACCCAAATGATGATTGTGGCCAAGTTTGGTTTAATTTGGTAAAAAGTAGTTTCAGAGGAGAAGATTTTTGTAAAAGTTAACGACGACGGACGACAGACGCCAAGTGATGAGAAAAGCTCACTTGGCCCTTTGGGCCAGGTGAGCTAAAAAACACAGAATAGAAGAAGAAAGAATTCCACTTTTCGGGTAATTTGTGATGACGTATTTACCCCCACGTAGAAACAAAATGGTTATTGCCCGATACCACTAAAGGCACTGCCTTTAAAAACCTGAAATCAGGTCATGTGCATACCCATGTAGGCATGGTACAGGCACATTTCAGAGAAAGCAGGACAACTTGGCCCGGACCGTCAATAAGTAAACGTGGACCGTCTATAAAGACAACTCAAACAAAAGAGGATTTGAACTATATAAATGATTATAAATTATTAAATGTTATGTTTTACGTGACAATATCATTTGTATGTTGCTGAATTTGCAAAACATAATAAAAAAAAATGTTGTTTAATGTGAATTCAAATTTTTACTTATCTTTATAATTTATTTTAAAACTTAATTGGGGCAAAAAAAGCCTAGGTGTAGAGTTGTTTCATTGACAATTATACCACGTCTTATTATAATGATAGGTTAAATTCGTTTTATTAATTTGTTGAATTCTTTATTTTATTATTTTAAAGTCAACTCGGGCCGTCTATAGTGCCAATAAAATATAAACATAGTGTGTGCTATTTCTATGATAACATGTTATATTTTACATCAAAGTATCCCTTTAGTGTAGATTATCATTTCTACTACCTCATGGTGATTCTACATTTTGAATAAAATCTTCATAATTCATTAAACAAACTTTTAAAATTAATCTGTTGATTAAATTCTTTCTTTGGTCATAATGATTAAATTAAATTTTATCAACAATCAATAATGTAAACTTAATTATTCTAATTAAATGACCAAGAAAGTGATAATCAAATTACACAAGCTGATTACCATGATTACAGGTTGTTGAGAAATTAATCATAAAGGCCTCAAAATCACACCAAAACTTTATCAGAGACTTCTCTTCAGACAGTCTATTTCATTGAATCATGTATTTGGTCAAAACTTTAATTTTATATTTAGTCTGAGATGTAATTATAGACGGTCTGAGTTGATTTATAGATGGTGTGAGTTGACTTATTGACGGTCAGAGTTGTCTTCATAGACAGTCCAAGTTGTCTCGGGCCGACTTGTCTCGCACCCATTTCAGATAATCAAAACTGTACATATGAATTTCATAGATTTTTACTTGGTCTTAAAACAAATCTCGCTTCAGGGTAAGTTCTCCTGCTTAATAGAGCTACATGTACAGTAATTACAAAAAAGTTTTCAAATTTCACAACCAAAAAAACAGGAAATTTATTGTGTTGTCTCCCCTTAAAACATGTGTATTCAATCTAATTTTATTTATGAAATTATTTTAATCATTCAACCTGTTTTAATTGAAAAATTGAAAGCTAATCAACAAATTTTTACCATCAAATACAA